ATATAGAATGGAGACGTCAGACGATATCAGAAGAGTACTCAATAAGCTCGACATTAGAGTTTTCTTCAAAACATCTGACACACTTCAAAGCAACCTTGTCCATATAAAAGACCACATCCCTAAAGATTCTCTATTTAATTGTGTCTATAAAATAAAATGCTCGGAATGTGATGCGATATACATCGGACAAACATCTCGAGAAATCAAAATCAGGAGAAATGAACACCGTAGAGCATCTCTTCGACCACCAAGAAATCCGGTTGAAATAGAAAAACTTGAAGAATCATCAGCCATAGATCTACACGCTATAGAATCAGGTCACAAAATTGATTTTGACAATATTGAAATAATCCAGAAAAACTTCAGGAATCACAAAGAACGTCTAATATCAGAAGCACTTCATGGAATCCGAATTGCCTGAATAGGAATGATGGACTTAAACAGAATCTGACCTGGTTACAACACCTCCCTCCCCTCCCCATGAAGTGACAAAATCAACACGAATGTGATAAGCAATTTCATTATGTGAACGCATGCTGCTTTTATAATTTTTTACAGTTATCAAATCCAAAAATCCACATTTGGTTTTGTTATCTTAACCAACTGGCCAACTTGATAACAGCACAAAAATTACCTCATGCTGGTGAACGATGATTAAGTTGTTATATATTACGAGTTGATCACGGACTGATATCAGTTAGAGAACCATTGAAAACCAGGGAGTACTGGACAGCTGCAATTCATGTGACATACAAGTCATACATTGTGATTTAACTGATCGACAGACAAGATAGGGTGTGACTCACCAGTGTCTAACGATCAATAGACACACATCAGACAAATCAGATTGGCACACAAGACAGATATCATGTGACTACATATCAGATACGTGATGAATTTCAACCCATCGTTTTATCTCCTTGCTTCGTATCATTTATATCCAGTAAGGCAAATAAGAAAAGACTAGAGAATTTTTGATGTGGCTGTGTTCTCTGAGCTGGATAGTTAATTTGCGAAGCTTCCATCACTTTCAAGGTTACCGGGAGAGATAACTAATAAACTCATGGAGAAATCTAAAAGCTCACTTCAAATTGAAGTATGCGCTGAAAGTGTTGCCTAGTAGGGCGATGAAAGCTTCGCCCACAGAACACAACCACATCAAAATCATCCACCTGAGCTACAACAAATCCTCTCCATCATATCTAAGACTAAGGAATATTTAATCCAGCTTTAACAGTATTTCAGGTAAACTCACACAAACTAATCACCGATTTTATTTTTGACTGAAATTTGCTAAACAATTTTGCGATACGATCACATACTTGAATGCCATGAAATAGGGGAAATAACATTTAGTATTGGAGATTAGAAGTCAGTCGATAGGAAATCATACTGCAGATATCAGAAAGGTCATGTTCCACCTCGGAGGTCTTGACTTCCATTGCTTTTAATAGTTTATTCAAAGTTACTACCAATCTGTCTGTCTATAATCACTTCACAACCAAGGAGATTTTCCATCTGCCCGAACAATTGACTTACTTTAATGATATACCGTTCCCTTGAGAAAAAACTTTGGCTTATTGCACTTTCACTCACAATTAGGTGATAAGTTCTAAATCTGCTCAGCTTATGGAGATTTCGACAGTGAGGTGGTACAATCAGTCTTTATGATAAGCATATGTATGATCATTTGTATGCTTCCTCTTATATGGTTTACTTCTATTTTTTTGTCACCAAGCGTGAATTTAAAGGCTTTTTTCAACCTTTGTATTTCACTTATGAAGGATTTCAATGAATGCTTTTAAAATTACATGCCAAGAATAATGTGCATAGAATTCTTACAGAGGGTGAAATTCCAATGTTAACACTCTAGCGGTTTCAATTTCTGTACATCTGCAACTTCATTTGAACTCTTACCATGAACTTTTAGTCGAACGCAATCTGATGAAAAAGTACACTCTATTTAAACTATTTAACAAAAGTAGACTAATTTTTTAAAGTCTGAGGTGAAATTTTGATCACAATTCATACAATTTTGTTTATTATACATGTTGATACCTGTTTCATGATTCATATGATTTGACAACGTTTTTAAAAACAAGAGATGTTCCTTATATATATGTATAAATCTCTGTTATGTTAATTTCGATTAATTTCCCAGAAGAAGTTCGAACCAGTTTGCCGAACGCAGGAAACGTTGGAATTACTCGTTTCAATTTCGTTGAAATTTTACAAATATAATTTTTACAAGTGTCTACTTCTCACTCGGCGCCTAATTATTTTGGAACTATTCGGTCAAATCTTGATCACAGTTCATATCAATTAGCATTTGAAATATCCTCTCAATATTATTTTTTTAAATAATAATAATTTGCTTTATTCCGAAACAGTACTTGTGATACAGAATGGAATTCTCAGCATTTTACTACATTATTGCATCCAGTTAGTACATTATCAATAAATAAAATTTTACATAGATTAAGGTAATCTCAGTTCATTATGACAACAGCATATTGGCATGTCGATAGCGAAGCCAAAATTGAACAGTGTTTGAAAAGTAGATGCTAGCATATTTACTGGCGTAAGCGAGAGAAAGAAACAAAGCAGCACATAACAGAAAAAAAGAGAGAGAAAAGGAAAAGAAAGAAAGAAAACGTTGTACCTAAAAATGATATGTGCTGGAACGACTAGATCTAGTTGTTCTACTGACTATTCAATAAGTTATAGGTGTCACGCCTAATGCTTTCTTTATCACACAGAACACGAGCTAAGTAGGGTATGGTTGAGTTTTTGTACTTGCTAGTACGAGCATATAGTTTTCTATATAGGCTTCTGGTTTTTCCTGATGAGATACAAGGGGAGAGTTGTGAATGAAGAGGGTGGTGTGAGTTAGATGAAATGGATTTGGCCCATTTTTCACATGAGTCCAAGTGCCTGTCAACCAGAATATTAACAAGCTGGTTAAGTGGCACGTTGCTTACCCTGCTGACAACCTTTAACATCCTGCGTAATAAGGTACAGTCTTTCTTCAGTAGCCCTGGAAAAACTAAGGGGGGACAATAGAGAATAATAGGCAGGATGCGAGAGTTAACGAATTGTAGGAGTAAGGGTTGGGTTATACCAGAATGTCTTAACTTCTTGATGTAGAAGGTAAGACGGAATATTTTCTTAGAAGTCGCCAAGATATGAGACGACCAGGAGAGACCAGCAGATAGAATGACGCCTAGGTATTTTTTTGACTTCCGACTTGGTTTCTATTTCAGTGCCATCTATGTTGCACACCTCGTGAGTGCTACCATTACAAAGCTTACTGTTTCAAGGCATGAACGAAAATAAGATTACACTTACCATTGAAGTTTATAGCAGGTCTAACTCTTCCGCTTCATGGTTTAATAGTAAGCAAATGTTTAGAAGTATTCTTGGTTCAGTTCAAAGTGGCCGCATATATAACTATTTCTTTGGAATTTGTTAGCGAAAGAGTTGTATGTGAAAAGTATATTGTCATTACTTATCCATGTTATCATAAATGATATATATCATCACTATGATCAGCTGAAAAACTATTTGATTTTTCTATTATTGTTGTGATTCCCTTGGGTTTCTGAGTGGAATATAAGGATTCCATAGAACATATCCACGTCGTTCTGTTCTATGAGGTCCTCTTCATCTGGCCCCACGATTACCGATAGTCTCTCACCTCCTTCTCACACCCCCTAAACTCATCGTTTCCCACTCAATTTCCACCTGCGTGTCCGGTAGATCTTCATTTTCTTCCACATATTTGCCGACCAACAGATTCTTGATTGGTTTGTTCCCAGAGTTTCTTGTTTTTCTAATTTGTTCCGACCAGCCAGCCATCTAATCTTCAATATGGCGTCAGTGGAGGTTGTAGCTGTTGGTATATTTCTGCACCTGGCTGTTGGAAATGTTTTTTCGTGACGCGCAGTGCAAGGTTCTGTCTCATAAGAAAACTGAATGATTTAACATTGTTGAATTTTTTTGTTTACGTTTTTACATTTCAATATAGAAAAAAACCCATTTAGACATTTAGAAAACAGAAAGATTGAGCGAAGAAATATTTACTTTTCAATTAGTTCCTCATCTCACTCTGGCTCTACTCTAATATACACGTATAGCATTTTTATTACAATGCACAACAGAGGTAAATTGTCTCTTCACAACCACCCCTATTCTACGTTCGAGAAATAAGGATAAACTACCTAAATTTGCCTCCTCTATGTGCATCTACCAGTTTGACTGCAGCTGCGGAGCCAGCTACATTGGGTGTACAATTAGGCAGGTTCATCATCGTATTTCCGAACATCATTCAGCATGGTTAAGCAAGGGACAAACAAGATCTATTCGTAGCTCTATTTTAGGACACCTTGTAGACAGTGAGCGTAAGGTTGATGTTAATACAACATTTTAAATTATCTATCGTATTCCTACTAATCTTAATTTTGCTCTACGAGTTCGTCTTCTACATACAACAGCTGAAGCAATAGGAATCCACCTGAAGAAGCCAAACGTGTGTGTTCAGAAGAAATTTGTACAACCACTTTCCTTGCCTTGACCATCATTACATGACTGTATAAACCGGACTATCTCGCCCCCTTCCTCTAAACCTTTAAAAACTATAAAAATTATAATTGTCTAAATTATTTTTTCTTACTACTTCATCTTTAATTACGTGTTATCCTTGTAAAATGAATTTATTCTAACCATTTCTACCTATTAAAGGTGTATTGATTTTCTTCGTTAATTATCAACCCAATGACATTGTGACACTGACTAATTATTGTTAACAAACATATCACCACTTGATTGGTAAACTGTTGTGAATTGTAATAAAAATGCTATAGGTGTATTTTAGAGTAGAGCCAGAGTGAGATGAGGATCTAATCGAAAAGTAAATATTTCTTCGCTGCTCAATCTTTCTGTTTTTATATTTACTTTCTCAGCATAATCTCGGACTAAAAAAGAAGAACTTTGATAATTTGCCCAGAATTACAAACCTTGATATTCCACCTTTACACATTTTTATTGATTGATAACAAAAAGCTACACAAAAATACATATATGAGAAAGTGGAAATCGATTGTTTCACACTACAACATCAAGGCATCAAAGACAGTAAATATGACAAAACTAGGATAACTGGCCAAGCTGACTACAAACAGCCTTTACATTCGAATTTAGACTATCCAAGAGGTGCAATAAAATGACTAGTAATAAAAAAATTTATACAACAAAGAAAGTGAAGTTGTGTATGGAAAAATGGAAATTATGAATAACCTTCCTATATGAATATGAAAGATTGTATTGTAAAAGTCGTTTAGTAAACAAACAAAAAAATTGATCCACGTTAAAAGCGCATCATCCTATCCGGGAAGAAACAAGCACAATTTAAACAAACATGCCTATTTCAAAATTTTTTATATGAGTTAAATATTTTTAAGTAGATTGTTTAATTTCATGATCGTTTTTTGTGTAATTCTCCACTTTCATTGCACTTAACGCATAATTCACCGATAGATTTGAAGTCCATGACCATCGACAAGTTAAAGGATTGTACAGCATACCAGCAACTTGACGTGGCTGTAAACCATCTTTGAAAGAAAAACAACAACAACCAAAAAAACAAGAAAAATAATAATAATAATTACTAACTATTCTCAGAACACTTTTAGGTTTCGTTATTATCAGAGTTCCATCAACAGAGACGCGTAAACTTATTTAGGAATAAACTAAACAGAAACAATTTTGCACTAGTGCACTGATTCTTTTTTTAAAAAATAAATTTGAGCAAGTTTCTTAAAAGATTAACTTGATTTGTAAACAGAGGAGTGGAAGACTCAGATATAAAAATTGACTTGACACTTAGGTCTGTGATCAAACTGTTCAAAGTGTATTACCCGGTCGAATCATCATTAGATAAAGGTTCCAAATACGTCCGCTGCACGTTTCTCGACTTCACTTCGGCTTTCGACTCTGTTCCTAGATGTCTCTTGCTAAATAAGCTCTCTATGACAAAAACTGAGTCCTGAGTGACTAACTGGCTGCATTCCTACTTCTCTAACAGAAAGCAGTAAACCGTATACAAGGGTAAATCCTCCTCTGCTGCGCTCACCGAAGCTGGTGTCCCCCAAGGTGCTGTATTCGCCCCACTTATCTTTTCTTTCTTTCTACATGACTTACCACATTCAAATGACATTAATTTTGTCAAATATGCTGATGACCTGACAGTATCTTTGCCTGTCAAATGTCAAAGTGACTGCTCTAAACTTAATGGTTTTCTGTCAGAAATCAGCCAGTGGTCCAAGGAAAACAGTCTTACTTCAAACCCCTCCGAATGCTTAAAAAGTCAATTTCACCTTTAGGCATAAATCCGATCTAAACAAACTGGTTAGCTCTCACGAAGTGTGCAACATAGATGGCACTGAAATAGAAACCAAGTCGGAAATTAAATACCTAAGCGTCATTCTACCTGTTGACCTTTCCTGGTCGTCTCATATCTTCACGATTTCTAAGAAAATATTCCGTCTTACCTTCTACATAAAGAAATTAAAACATTCTGGTATAATCCAACCGTTACTCCTACAATTCGTTAACTCTCACATTCTGCCTATTATTCTCTATTGTTCCCCCTCAGTTTTTCAGGGCTACTGAAGAAAGACTATAACATATTACTCAGGATGTTAAAGGTTGTCAGCAGGGTAAGCAACGTGCCACTTAACCAGGTGGTTAATATTCTGGTCGACCTGCAGGCACTTGGACTCATGTGAAAAATGGGCCAAAACTCTCCCCTTGCATCTCATCAGGCAAAACCAGAAGCCTATATAGAAAACTATATGCTCGCACTAGTAAGTACAAAAACTCAACCATACCCTACTTAGCTGGTGTTCTGTGTGATAAAGAAAGCATTAGGCGTGATACGTATAACTTATTAAATAGTCAGTAGAACAACTGGATCTCATCTTTCCAACTCATATCATTTATAGGTACAACATTTTCTTTCTTTCTTTTCCTTTTCTCTCTTTTTTCCTGTTATGTGCTGCTTTGTTTCTTTCTCTCGCTTACGCCAGTAAATATGACAGCACCTACTTTTCTAACACCTTCAAACACTGTTTGGCTTTACCTTTGCTACCGACATGCCAATGTGTTGTTGTCATAATGAGCTGAGATTTCCTTAATCTATGTAGAATTCTATTTATTGATAATGTACTAACTGGATGCCATACTGTAGTAAAAATGCTGAGAATTCGATTCTGTATCACAAGTACTGTTTTGGAATAAAGCAAATTATTATTATTACATTTTTCGGGATAAACTTCATCTTCTAGCAACACTATCCAAATAAACTGACCATCAGGGGATATTTTCAGACTTAGTGAAGAGTCAAAAAAACAGAGTTTATACAGTGCCAATCTATCACACTCTAGATGGGCTGAATAAACTGCCGACTAGTAGAGCTAGGAGCAAGAGCAGACAGGATGGACAAGTAACAGATTATCGTGATGAACATGAAGCACAACTAGGTACCAATGGAATACGACCGCACCACTGACCTTGAATGGTTCAAAGAATTTCATTCACGTGAGTTTAGATGTTTTATTCCCCTTGATTCGAGTCAAATGCCTACTCTAAGGCAATTGCAATTTGGTAAGGTTAAGGTTTTCCAGTATTGCTTGGATGTGGGGTTGATTATTAAAGAAAGGATTTGTTCATGTGGAGATGTCATGAATATAAAAAGCTTCAGCAGGTCGGTTGATGGATGTGTTTATCGCTGTGAAGTTTGTTTGAGACGAGTTACTGTAAGGGAAGGTAAGCTGATGATTCTAATATTTCTTAGGAACATTTTTGTTGCCAGGTCCCACTTGTCCTTAACCCAGATTTTGTATATTTGTAATTACTGGGTTTTAAAACAGCCTGTGAGAGGTGCAGCTGCTGAAACTGAAAATAGTCTCGTATCAACAGTTCAGTGGTACTAGCACTGCAGGGACAAATGGAGAGACTTACTTCGCAATTGAAAGGAGGTGTCATCGTACACGTGGATGAAACCGTCTTATAAAGAAAAAATGCAACCATGGTCGTTAACGAGCAAATAATCTTCGGGTGATTGGCAGAAAGGATTCGTCGTGATGACAGCAGACAGAAAGTCAACTACCTTAATTACCTATTATCAGTTGACTTGTGAAACTCCCTGTGATCTCTTGGATATATTCACCACAGAGTCAACCATTCTAGTGATTTTGTGGATCCCATTACAGGGACACACACTAATTCTATAGAAGCCTTTTGCGGAAGGCCAGAAAACAGGATTAGGGCAGTTAATGCATCTCAAAAGGGCGTCATTTATAGTCATTTAGAAAAAAATATGTATAGGATGTAGTGTAACTTTTCAACTGATATTCCTAGGCTAAATTGGGAAATGTTTTTATCACACGTGAGAGAAAGATATCCTATGTAACGGTATTATGCATTTTCTTCCTCATAAATATAAGTATTTCATACCCAAAAATGCCCCCTTCATGTGACTGGTGCGTACAAGGTCATTCGCTGATTGGTGTAGTTAGTGGTGCTTGAAGTTTAACGATGTTGTGATGACTTATAGCTTAAAAGCGAAGAGTTTACAATTTCTAAAATAAGAATAAAATTCTGACATATATACGGCTAAGCGGTAGAATATTACTACTATAATTATTATTGGTCCCTTGGGTTCCTAGTGGAATATAGGGTTTCAACTGCACGTCTCCACTTGCTTCTGTCTTCTGCCTTACTTTTCACCTGCATCCATGTTAGTTCATACTGTTTCAACTCCTCTTCATACGATCTCCTCCATGTCACCCTTGCACTAACGTCCCACTCGCCGCTTCCCTTTCGGGTTCCACTCGAGCGATGGCCTGACGTGCGATGTCACCCAGTGGCCTCCTCAGCGAGTGTCCAATCTATCTTCACTTTCTCCTGCATATTTGTTGGCCGACTAGTTCTTGTCTTGTTTGTTTCCATAGTTTCTTGTTGGTGATTCTTTCCGGCCATCTGATCTTCAGTATAGAGCGAAGACAGTTGTTGATAAAGGTCTGCAACAGGCTGTAAGAAATATTCTTTGTGACCCGCCAAGTTTCTGATCCGTATAGAAGAACTGACTGACTTGACATTTGTATTGAAAATCCGGATTTTGTTGTTGATGCTGAGTGACGAAGATTTCCAGATTGGTTTCAGGTTGATGAATATGTTTCTCGCCTCCTCGATTTGATATCCTCGTCCGTTTCATGTGCCTGTAGTTGAGACAATGCTCCCTAGATAAGTGAATGAAGTAACCTCTTTCAAATCCCTCCCGTTGATGATGATTGGCGCTGGATGTTGCTGATGCTGTTGTTGTTGGTTGGTTATTTTGATAACCTCCGTCTTGTCTATGTTCACCTGGAGTCCTGTCTTTGCTGCTTCTTCTTTACCAGTTTTTCGGTTTTCGCTTGTAAGTCTTCGATTTTTTGTGACATCAGACATAAGTCATATTAAAGTGATTAAAATCCTTTGAATAAATCAATAAATGAATTCCAAAATCATATATAAACTTACATTTAATACAAGCATACTGTAGTCGACTTGGTTCAATGAATTTATTCCATTCATGAGTACCACGTGGAACAAGGCCAGCAATATACTCAGCCACTACAATGCCTAATAGCAGTGATGCTGTAGTATGATTAATTGTTGTTATAAACATCATACCGTCTAACTACTCATCAAAATAAAATAAAACATAATAAAAACAAGATCTAATCTTCATGAATTTATGCAAATGTCTGTTTGATTAAAAGTATGCATTCGTTAAAAGTATGGCATATTTGTTATTAACCTCCTTATCATCAATCTCATTGAATTCTATATTTGTTAATGTAAGATAGATAGGGGGGAGTAGTGTTCATTAGATTCATTTCAAACCAATGAAAGAATCAATAAGTAAATCAATAATAAAAATGATAAATATATAGCCTGATAATATTAATTACTTCACTTGAAACATATATGTATATAAGCTAGAATTCATGTGCCGCTGAAACTGGTCCGAGTGACTGAATGGTATACGAGTTTGCCTTGTAACCGGAAGGTTTTGGGTTTGAACCCTGGCAGTGGGTGCATACTGCCGACAATTACCAAAACTAGGATGAAACAGCTGTCCAGTACTCCCGGTGGCTGGTTATCAATGGTTCTCTAGCTGATATCAATCCGTAGTCAAACTCGTAAAAACAAAACTAATCCTTACAAACCAACTCTTGAAAAAATGTATATAAGCAGTAAAATAGTCAAAAGATAACGAAGGAATGATGAAAAAAAAGAAATTACTATTGAGATGAAATATACCTTACAGCAAAACAATTAGTGTGACGATTCAAACTCCCTTCTTTGTATATCATGAAGCAAAGTAGAACAACCCCTACTTTGCATTAGGGAGTAAATGATAAACTGCCTAATTTCGCCTCTTCTACTACCAATTTAACTGCTTCTGTGGAGCCAGTCATAGGGGCCATACATCTAGACGTTTTCATTTTCGGATTTCCGAACATCATCCTGCTGTATTGGTTAAGTAAAGGACATCAAAATCTATTCGCAGAGCTATTCTATCTCATCTTGTGGATACAAAACACAAGATTGATGTTAACAAGGAGGCTTTCAAAATCATTTACCGCATACCAACTAATCTTAGCTTCACCTTAAGAGTTCGTCTATTACATACTGCTGAGGTTGACCGTTAATATCCACATTATGAAACCTAACTTATGTATCCAAAAGAAGTTGGTTGGTTCAGACACTCTCCTTGTAACAACAGAAGACAAGGGCCAGGCAACAGATCGTTTATTAGGGAAATCAACACATATTTATAGATTTTCATGTACATTACTATATATTATTGTAAGCAAACAAACACAGTCTTCTGATTGGTGATTTCTCGTTGAACGTTAATCTTTCATCTCTTTGTGGCCGTTTATTGAAGTTTAGATTATCTATCTGCAAATTGTATCCGCCTACGCAAAGTCTGCTGTGATTGATTGTTGAATCTGTCTTTGGTCTTATTTTTCTCACGACCAATATTGGGGACGTAAACATTGACGTAAATTACTGTCTACCAATTTTCGCTAGCAACCAGCTCTCACCACACATCCTTACGCCGCTGGCCATCAAGGTTTTAATGATCCTCAATTTGTCGTGGAAATTTCCTTAATTTTATTTGATATTCTATTTTCTATTACATTTTTACACGTTTCACGCATTCCTCTATCATTTAGAAGCGTTTTTGAAATCTTCAATTTTTCGACCTTTTTGGACTCGAGTTAGGGGTAGTATAGTATCTCCACGTCGAACCAATGTTTCATATCAACAAGGTGAGAGCTACTACAGAGATACGTTCCTCTTTAGTCAGTCTTTTAGCTAACCATGCTAGTTGGTGTTCGATGGTGTTTCTCGACAGATATGCGCTCCTGGGTATATACCCACAAACATTAAAGGAGACGAGAAAGTAACTGAGATGAAAATGACGAACTCAGTTTATTTTTCGTCACTAGTAAGTTAGTGATAAGAAATATTTCCAAAATTCCTGACTAACACCTTCCAACTAGTAGCTTCCGAGAAATAACCGAAAAGCAAATTACATCAGAAATACCCACAAGAAAACATCAGTCCGAAAGCAAAGCAAGCTGCAAGAACACTTTAATAAATAAAACCAGTTTGAAAGTAGAAGAAATCAATACACCAATCTTCTTTTTCTTCTTACCTTTAAACAATTCGCTATACATTTCACCATGCCTTCCCAATCAGTTACATGTTCTAAAACTTCCGATGCAACAACTGCATCAAAATGATTTGGTGATTCTTCAGCAATAGTTTGTAGACTGGTTAGTCGGTAAACTGGTTTATGTAGGCTTGGATGAGTTATCCAACGATGTGAAGTTGCTTCAACATGTTCATTTGCGGCATTTATACTCTCTTCTACTTGATCTATGCCTAACACTTGAGCACCTAAGATGGAGAGTGCCTAGTAAAATTTAAAACAAGACAGGTAAAGATATACTTTTAAAGTTATAGGTAGCATAAAAAGAAATTTGCAGAGAAAAATCCCTTGGACAGGACAATATACACATTTTCACAGCTTCGTTCCTATCAGTTACAAAAGAAATTTAGTGAAGACCCTCTGCCACAGAGTTAGAGCTATATGCTCAGAAGAAGTAATTGAAGATGAATTAAGCATTGTATATGATACTTTGATCGAAAATGGCTATCCAGAAAAATTTATCAAGAAATACATGACAAAGAAAGCGGAAAAGGACTACTCACTATCCGTAAACAAGAAGCCACTTTATATATACGACTACAATTTATGGGCGATATACCAAACAAGATAATTACGAAGAAATTAGGAAAATCAGTTCAAAGAACTTTTAGTGCTGGCGAACTACACGTATTATTCTCTACACGACCGATGGTGCTACCTTGACTGAAAGATGAAGTACCTAGACTAGCCACTTCAAATTGTATCTGTCAATTCAACTGCGCTTGTGGAGCGAGTTATATTGGCCGATGCTCTAGGAACTTGATTTTTCGTGCTCTAGAACATATCCCACTATGGCTAAGTAAAGGTGTAGTTAAAACTATTAACAGCTCGATATTAGACCATCTAGTGCAAACCGGTCACAAAACCAGCGTGGAAGAATCCTTCTCTATAATATACCGGATGCCTAACGAATTACCAAAATCATCGAAGCACCGCATGCTCCAAACAGCAGAGGCTATTGCAATTCGCCTCAAACAACCAGTGCTCTGTGTTTAAAAGAAACAAGTCTAACCCCTACTATTGCCCTGGCCCTCAGTAGAAACTATAAACTCATGAATTTGTAATATTATCTTTCCTAATTCTTCTGACATTCGGCTTATTTTATGTTGATGCTATTCAGCTGTAATCTATCAATATTATTGATTCGATGTTATTTAAACAACATTAATGTTGTTCATAACACTAATTCATTCATTCATTATAATGTATATATAACTGTAGAGCCTGATGATGAATTTATCGAAAAGAGTACTCTTTGTTCAATATCCTTTCTTTTGAAAATTTGAAAATAAACTTTGAACAAAACATTTCCCATGGTATAAAAATGTAGTAAACAAAACAATGTGACATGAAACAATCACATTTTATGGATACGAATAAATCATTGAGGGAATAGATTAACATGAAGTTTAAATAACAACTGAATTCTAGAGGTGGGCATTGCTACGATAACGTGGTTCCTGCTAGTGTTGATAAAATAATAATAAAAATGTGTAACTGTTGGTACTACAGAGCCACTGGGTGACTCAGACCTCCGCAAGAACTGGCACGGAATGATGCAGTTGTCCACGCAAAGCAAAATACCAAGTAGCATCATCCTGGGGTGAATTAAAGATGCACTGGATGCGGAACTCCGACCACCGGGAAAGGCTCGATTCAGGAAAATCGAATCATGTGCGTTTCAAATTGCAACTCTAGGCATCATCATCGAAGAGGGTATAAAATGGCATTCGAATTTTTACCTCATTTTCATCTAATTTGAAAAGGCGTCCGGCAGCGTTGACCGCAAAGTAATTTGGAGACTACTCCAACATTATGCAGTGAAGTGAGCAAACCCTTATCAACCTGACTCAACAGCTGCATGACAATGCCACATGTGAAGACACACACAACAGAAAACGCTTGAAGTGAATACAGGATCAAGACAAGGCTAACTACTACAACCAATGAAATTCCTGGTTGTGGTGGACCGGATTATGCGTCACATTGTACTTCGGTAGCGAGGAGACAGGAATACGTTGGACCGATAAGAAGACTGTAGAAGATCTAGAATTCAAGGACGATTTATATCCAGTGTCATATAAATTCGAAGACTTGCAGGAGAAAACCAAGTTGGGAGAAGAGGCAGACAGCAAAAACTCGACTTCAAGCAAACAGAGAGAAGACGGAGGTATGAAAGTAACTAACCAGCCAACCAACAACAAGCACCAATCACCATCCATGGAATAAATTTGTTACAGTTCACTTCCTTCACTTGTCTTGGAAACATCGTTTCAGCTGCAGGCGGAATGGATGTTGGTGTCAAAACCAGAATCGGAAAGGCAAGACAAACCTTCATCACTCTGAAATCACTTCGGAAATCATCTCCCCTCCACAGCATAAAGAAAAAAATCTGAACTTTTAACACCAATGTTAAGTCGGTCACTTCTTGTATATGGCACAGAAACTTGAAACGTCACGAAGAGCATTTTAAACAGGCCACAGCAAACCTTCATCAACAGCTGCCATCTTCTCGGGATCCATATTGAAAACCAAATGGCTAACCGGAAAGAATTAGCAGCAGGGGACTCTGGAAACAAACCAATCAAGGACTCGTTGCCCAACAAATATGACGAAGGAAATGGATATGGACCGGACACATACTGAGGAGACCGTTGGATAAGGCGGGCCCTGAAATGAAACCCTAATGGGAAATGACGAGTTGGGCATCCAAGGGACGGGACGAGGAGGGGGAAAGACTGTGGGCAATCGGGGAGCGAGCTGAAGACGACCGCAGAGGACAGGACAAAGTGTAGATGTGTTATTAAAACCCTGTGTTCCATTCGAAACCCAAAGGGAATGATAACAACATATAATAATACACAGCCACTTATAACTTGACTTTTATTAACCTTCAGGAATCTCTGCTGATTAGGAGAACCGTAAGAATAAAGCCTAGAAAGAGATAAAAATGTTGGCCTACATGTGGCATACTTTTCATCAGTGTTTCCCTGCCTTGTAAACCAAAGGTTACAGAGTTAGACTTTGATTTCAATATATGAAGGAATCATCCGGTTATAGACAATAGTAAAGACAGTTTACTAAGTTGTTTAAAAATTATTCACACTATGTAAAGGTTAATGGAATCACCTCCTTCAACATATCTTATTCGTTACTGTTATGACCGGAATTACGATCTAGCAGAGACTACGGGTGAATACTAACTTAATGCACTGGCTAATCTGTCCTAATTGCATATAAGTAATAAAAATAATAATGCCGGGCCTCAAAGACAGAAGAGAAGACTAGTCGTTGGTAATAGAGCTTTTTACTGTCTTAAAACAACAGTTGAAAAAAAAGTTGACAGAGCTTGCGTGCATGTGTGCTTAAAATGACTTTGAGAAGCACTAATGTCATTGATAAATAAAAACAGTGAACAACCAACAAGATTCCAAAGGTCATAAGAAGGGAAAAGGGAAGTGATAAGTGAAACAATCTCTGAGGAAAATAGCACCGTAATTAGCTCCCAGGATAGACGACTAAGGCGTTGGAATGAACACTCTGATGAGCAATTCAACTGGCCTACAGCCACGCTCAACTTACCGAACATCCAACACCTCCCTGAATGGGAAATAGACACAGGTCTTCAGTGTCCTACCCTGACTGAGGTTACTAGGGCTGTCACTAGTCTGAAACGAAGCAAAGCAGCACGACCTGATGGAATGACTTCAGAAGTGTTTAAGGACGGTGGAGACAATTTACTGTCTGCCTTAACTAAGGTACTAGGCAGTGTGTGGGGATCAGAGGAAGTCCCATCGCGTTGGTGTAAGTCACTGATTATCCCCATATACAAGAAAGGAGACAAGTCTTCCTGTGATAATCACAGAGGGATTAGCTTGACTAATATGGTATCTAAAGTTCTAGGCTCAATAATGATGCGTAGACTAAGCTGTGCTCGGGAGGAACAAACACGAGAGAACCAGGCAGGCTTTAGACCAGGAAGAGGGTGTATTGATTATATCTTTACCCTTCGACAGATTCTAGAACATAGGCGTACTTACCGGTGTCCAACAATCATTATATTTCTTGAGTTAAAGACGCCATTCGATTCTGTCTACTGAGAGGTACTCTGGCGATATTTGGCTGTAAAAGGAATGCCGAGAAAATACACCGCACTGATCAAGGCACTTTACTCGAACTCATGCAGCCAGGTGAGAGCTTACGGCGAGTAATCATCTGAACTGGTAACAACTAGTGGTGTCCGATAGGGATGCCCACTGTCTCCATTTCTATTCAATTTCACCATAGATGTACTAATGGACTTAACTCTAACTCATTTCAGAGACTCAGGGATTGACTTGTTACCAGAAAGTAATCTCGTTGACTTAGAATATGCAGATGATATAGTTCCTCTAGGTAGTGAAGACGCTGACAAAATGCAGAGTTTTCTGAACACCTTGAGGTGCAATCTGCGAATGTTTGGTATGCGATTCGCTCCCGCCAAATGTAAGACGATACTACAGGACTGGAATACACTGACTCCTAGCTTACAAATAGGCAGTGAAGTGGTAGAGCACGTTGACCGCTTCACTTATTTGGGAAATTACATCAACCAGTGCCAAACGGGTTGATTGCTGACGAAATCTCAGCACGGATACACAAGGCTAATTTCGCATATGCCAGTTTACGCCGTCTCTGGCGTAGACGTGATACAGGGCTATAGACCAAAGGGCGGGTGTACTGCTCAACAGTCCGCTCCGTTCTCCTTTATGGCTGTGAGACCTGGCCATTGAGAGTGGAAGACATGAAAAGATTAGTTGTCTTTGATCATAGGCGTCTGCGTTCTATCTCCTATGTGATGTGGTATAATAAGGTGAGTGCTAGTTGAGGAGGGGAAATCAATCGACGAGACTGTGAAATTACATCGACTGAGATAGTTAGGACATGTGTTACGCATGCCTAGTCATCGCCTTCCTCGACGGGCAATCTTAGCTGACATAGGGTCAGGTTGGAAAAGAGCCAGTGGCTGTCAAACTAAATCATAGCTTCATCAGTCAATGAAATATACAACAGTTAGTTTAAGCCAGCCACGTAGGAAGATGTAGACTTCCTGATTGGGGTCCTCGGGACGGAAAACACCAGTGGCTGGAGAGAATTGGTGATATGGCTCAAATTGATCGTTTTCAATGGATGGCGCAGATGCATCCACTCCTTGTGACTAATAATTTCCAATGAAACTATATTGTTCTTCAATATTACTATTCCTTTTGCCTCATATCTGTCTTTACTGTCTCCATTCTGCATTTACTTTTACTTTCTTCTTCTCTGGCTTTGTGTGCTGAGTGAAGTGTGGCGACTCGAACTGCTGCACATCAGTACAAAGTTCTATGTTAAAACCAGTCAGTCAGAGGCTACCTACCCCCTTCACTCATCTAGGAAGCCAGCATCGTTTCAACTACAGGCGGATGACACGGATGAAGATGTCAAAGCTAGCCAGCCAGCCAGAATCGGAAAGGCAAGATACACACCTTCATCAACCTGAAACCAATTTGGAAATCTTCCGCACTCACTCAGCCAGCATAAAGAACAAGATTCGGAATCTATTCAACACCAATGTCAAGTCGGTTAGTTCTTCAAAATTCGGGTGAAAAACTTGTCAGGGGTGTCACGAAAAGCATTTCCAACAGGTTGTGGACTTTTATCAACAGCTGCCTTCGCTGTTTCTCGAAGATCAAATGGCCAGCCAGAAAGAATCAGCAAAAAGAACTCTGGGAAGAAAATAGAGATGGATCGAGCATATGTTGAGGAGGCCATTGAATGACATCGCGCGTAATGGAGCCCACAACTCGAGTGGAATCCCAAAGGGGAGCGAGGAGTGCATCATCAGTGCGAGGGTGACATGGAGAAGATCGTGTTTGGAGGAGATGAAAGATTATAGGCAACCGTGGAGCTGGCTAGCTGAAGAGGACAACAGAAAATAGAACAAAGTGGAGATGTGTTGTTGAAGCCCTATGTTCCCCTCGGAAACCAAGGGAATAATAATAATCAAAAAAAGTAATATCTACTCTAACGAAGTTGATATACTAGGAAAACGATAAACTACGCATTATTTCACTGTACGGGTAACGAATGCACAGCACAGCAGATAAATACTTCAGAGAGAGGGAGATGAAAAACAAACTACATTTATATCAATTATACCAACTAACCTACCTCTGTTAGAATACCGCCACCACAACCAACATCTAATATCTTTTTACCCATTAACGGTAAGTGGATCGATTCCGTGGTCGACTCTACTGTTGAAGGAGGACAAAGACCATTTCGAATAAACGGCACACGTAAACGATTCATTGAATGCAACGGCTTTAATTCACCTTTCAGTAAAAAAAATACACAGAAACTATACCTAATGGTAAGAAAACTCTATGAATAGAATATTAACCCAAAAAAAATCTGAAATAACACATAGTATGCAATTAATAGTGTTCACTGAGCGCTGGTTGGTTTAGTTGCGGAGCTTTCGTCAGATAAAATAGGTCCGTTAGATTTCATTCGCCATTGATCTTGTTCTGTAATTTGTCCTGATTTTGTTATCCAATGTTTGTATAGGGTTTTTTGTCAACTGTTGATATACATTATTGTCTTTGAGTAAATCCTCTGCTTTCTTTATGTAGTCTTCTGTGTCTAGGATTACTGTTGTTATTCCTTTAACAGCCGATAGAATAAATATATATCTTTCCTATTCTTCAGTTTCTTCAATGCATTTTGCTCTTCAGTGCTAAGTTGGGAATTATGTCTTTTCTGTTTGAGTATAGGTATGATACACTGACGTACTTCTTGTTGTACTCCCTCATTTAATTTTGATTATTTGAGTGATGATTCTAAGGAAGCACAGAAATCTGTTACTGAAGCGTCACCAGTATTGTAGTTGAGTCCTTTCTGAAGAAGTTGTTCTTCTGCTTTTGATAATGGTTGTTTTGATATATTTACTACTAAACAATCATTTAGAGTTTCTTCAGACGGTTGTTTGGATATCTTAGCTAGTTTTCCTTTGAGGGCGACTCGTCTTCGTTCTTCGTATCGTTCGCTTAATATTTTAATAGCAGTATTCAATGTTGACAGATGTTCTGGCGTAAGAGTCTGTTCAACTTTTTCTTTATGGAATTTAATCATATGCTGGTATTTTTTAATCCTATTGTGTGCATCCGTGATCATTAATTTCACCATTTGTTTTCCATGTTGTTTGGCTAATTTCCAGCCTAGAGGGCAGTTAATTGGTGGTTTATATTTGACACTAGTTGGTAGAATCTGCTGGCGGAAACATTCATGAAGAAAGAATAGTTGTTCTTCTGTAGAAACTTGCCTTTTAGCAAAGTCTTCCCATTTTCGACACCACAGAAACGTATCACGCTCGTAAGATTTTGAAATAATAGCGAAGATTTGTAGCTCAGGTTGATGATTTGCAATTAATAGTGTTTTCTGAGCTGGTTGGTTTAGTTGCGGAGCTTTCGTCGTCCTTCTGGACAACCAACATCTTCAGCGCAATATTTAGCATAAAGTGAAATGATTTAAATTTCTTCATGAGTGATATAATTGCGTCTCCCGGTAACCATCTGAAATAACACGTAGTATGCAGATGCCTTGTTATATATTATAAGAAATAATGGTCAAACATTTAACATTTAAATGTCAAATCAGTACTTCCGTATTGTTTAAAACCTTGGGGTGTGCATCATGAGAAGCATTTTGAACAGACTACTACAGCAGACTTTCATCAACATCTGCCTTCGCCGCAAACTGAAGATCAGATGGCCAGAAGGCATAAACAACAGGGGACGAACCACCAACCAAGAATCTATAACTCAACAAATCTGGTGAAAAAAGTGGAGATAGGTCGGACTCACACACTGAAGGGGACCGTTGAGTGACATCGCACGACAGGCCACAGTCCTCGAACGGAACCCGAATGGGAAACAGAGAGTTTGAGCCTGTTTCTGTAAGTGACATGGAAAAGACCATGTGAGGATGAGAGATGACAGTCTATGGGTAATCGTGGAACCAGACAGAAAGGATTGCAGAGAACAGGATGAAATCCTGAGTTCTATTCAAAATCCAAGGAAATAATAATACATCAGGATGACTGTATGATGAAGTGACTGCAAATGAATTTGAGCCGTTCTCAGCCAAACTTATATTGTTAACCATTCTAGACCCAACTAATTTTTCGGTGGATCGAATTACTAAAGAAGATTTTGATAACTAACAATTCATTTAAAAGTATAAAAGGTATTTGAAAGAGATAACGACTACGAATCACAACTGACTGAGTTAACCCGCAGAAGTTTGTACAAAACGGTGCCAGCTAATGTTACCACAATTCGGTAAAGTACACATAAGTGTAGAAAGATGGAAAGAAAGTGGAAGTACTAAGGAAATAATTGATTGAAAATTACTGGATATTTAGAATGTGTATGATAATAAGAAATGAACACATATACCCTATTGCGAACGGTTTTGAGCCATTTCACAAACAGTCTTCAACTACTGATTCATAGCTTCCCCAGAGCTTTAGTCAGGCAATCTACATCTCCCTAAGTGGTTCCAGATAAAAGTTAAGCATTTTATTGGTTGATGATATGTTTCCACCTCACCAACCACGACTCTTTGTCAATCGAATCCTGTATCAGTTAATATTAGCGGTTAGAACAGGCAGTGGTTTGGCATGGTAAGCACATGTCCTCCCTATCTTAAATGATACAGCTTCACAATCTCATTGAATAATTAGTTTTCTCTCTCCTTACTCTATGTCTAACCTTATTATAACAAAACTCAATAAAACAGAAGTAATATTTGCAATATTTGACTGGTTTGACGATGTCATCATCAACTGACATCGATTAGAGGACAGCTAATTCTTCAGCCCAATTTGGGACTCTTCATCGGTACGCATTCACTGAGGTTCGAATCCACGACCTTCCGGTTACAAGGCGAGCTCGTAGACCATTAGGCCACTGGGACCCGATCCAATGGCCAGTCTATGAATTCTAACTTCCAATTCATGATACGATGCAACCACTAGCGAATGTCATCGCTGGCGAGTATTTGTCCTCACACCCAACCACCTGCTGTACCCCACTGGTCACAAAAGAAGTAATTTTTTGAGAATGTAATATAAGCAGTACAGTAAAAAACAACTCACCGTTGAGATCCCACCAATAATTTGAGAAACGCTTAAACTTTACAGCTTCTTCCTCGTCGATTGTTGTACTAGAAAACTTCTGACAACTTGCCATTTGAATTGAACATTTTTGTTTAAGTAGTTTTACAGTAGGACATAGAAAATACCGTTTCATAATTCCTCTCTCTCTATTCTACAGAGGAAACTAAAGATACATCATTCATTATAAACCACATTATGTAGTGAAAACGAAGTACTTTAGGTGCAAACCATCACCTGCAAAAGTGCATATTCACATGATATCTGGTTAACCATAATTTAATAAAGACAAGTACCACCAGAGTGGGTGTTTTATACCGCATGGTACATTTTTTAAAACAGTAAATCTGAAAACAAACTCGAAAAATGTTTTAAACATTTATAGGTAGTGTACACAATAAAGGCAACTAGTCGATTCGTAAAAGAGAATAAAAGAATTTGACAAATTATTCTACTGTTCGGTTGCACAGCGGTTAGGACTCTCACCGACCATGCACATGGTCCGGGGTTCGATCCCCTGCCGACGCACAGCACCCGATATCAATAGTCGGCCGGCAAAATCAGGTTACCGATGTCACATGCTGAAAATTCCATACTTGTACTAAAAATACAGTGTGGAATCAAGCTATAATCAAAAAAATATAGGGAAATTATTATATCTAAATCCTACTTTAGGGCATAACCTTATTTATTCATTGATTTATTTCTCTAGCTTGAAGATAACAAACATATAGGCAGAAAAACGATTAGATAGAAAGTTTCTGTTAATTGTTCTTCATCGAATCTGGTTGAGGACCGAGATGTATGAAATGAGAAGTATTAAAGTTATGACCACGTCCAAGTATAAATAATTGGCGGCCTGCTTAAAACTGCCGCTACAAAAAAACTTCCATTTCTCTTTCTCTCTGTTGCATATATTTTTTCTCATTCGGTTTAATTTAATCGATTAAGACATCACCTCTAATGGTATTATCTACTCTTGTCGGAACAGCTGAAATTCATAAACCTTCCTCACGCTAAGAAAATACCCACAAGCAGTAGAAATCCATTAATTAATGCGTCTAAAGCTTATGTATATATTTACTCCCAACAATGACATTGCAGATCAAATGAGATAAACATATCATTGATTTCAAAATAACACATCAATGAACTATAATTCAAGGATTCTGTACACAACAAAGTTATGTATGAAAATTGACTTCAAGCTTTACTTTTTTTTTCCCAGGCACTTATAATCCATCCACCAAAGACCTGGTTTTTTTGTTAATGCGAAGACAATACTTCCGTATTTCCTGATACGTCGCACTGACTGACAATCTAGCAGATTTTTCCAACTGTGCACAGAAATGATTGTATTTAAGTGAAAAGGCTGTTTTATACTACTGGGATTAACATTTACCAAGTGTATGTATAATCTCCAGTGAACATGTAAAGCACATCTTGCTACCACCTGTAAATTGTGATTGAATTATATGGTTCTATTTCTGTAACAATTTGATGATGCCTGTAAACTGGCGTCCCTCATGTACTATACTATGAGAATAAATTCATTTATTTATTTATACGCTTCTGATTCGCAAGTCTCTAATAAACTTGAGGAATGGCCTGGTTCCAATACATGAGATGACTGTACATCAATCATGTGTGTCCTTGAGTCTCAAAATGTACTTCTGAACATCTTACAAATGGCTTTCAACTAGATATTGTAGATTTGAAGGAGACAAAGCAGGCAACACCACCAACAGCAACAACAACAACAGACAACAATCAGCATAAATGGGGGGAACCTGAAAGAAACAACCTCCTTCACCTACCCTACGTGGGAAGCATCGTTTCAACTACGGGCCGACGGAACTGACGAGGATATCAAAGCAAGAATCTGAAAAGCAAGACAAGCTTTCACTACTCTCAAGTCTGTGTGGAGGTCAACAGCACTCAGCATCAAAAGTAAGATCCGGATTTTCAACTCCAATGTGAAGTCAGCGCTACTTACCATACGGATCAGAGACTTGCACTGCACGTCATAAAGAGCATCTCAAACAAACTACAGACCTTCATTAACAGTTGTCTTCGCTCAATACCACTCAGGATCAGATGACCAGAAAAGATCAGCAACAGGGAGAGATCTCTGGGAGCGAACCAACCAGGAACCGATTGTGAAACAAATAGGCAGGACGAAATGGAGATGGATTGGTTGGCCATACTCTGAGGAAACCATCAAGTGACATCACTAGACAAGCCATTGCTCGAGTGGAAACCGAAAGAGGAGCGGCGAGTTGGTCGTCAGTGCAAGGGTGACTTGGAGGAGGTCATGTGAAGAGGAGATGAGAACGTGTGGGCAGACATGGAGCCAGGTGAAGACTCTAGCAGAGAACCGAACGCAATGGAGACCCACGGCTGAAGCCCCATGTTCCTCTAGGAATTTAGGAATACAATAATATAATAATAATAAAGCAGATATATCATAATGGAATGGTTTGTGCTTCAGCTCAGAGACCATTGTGTCACACGATATACTACTGTCAATTAATATTCCACTTGAAGATATTGTACGAAGGGAAAATATCATGCAATAAACTCCTCTGAAAATTCTGTACATTTTATAAATACTGTCCAGAATAAAGATACTACCGTTATTATTTTTATTACTAAAAGCCAGTGCAATGATGCACAAACGTAGATTTCGATTAATTATGTATATCAACTTTTGTCATCCTAGATTATGGTACAGATATGTAGATGCCACATTTATCATCATTACGAGAGCTGAAAAAGAAAACTTTCTAACAGAGATTAACTTAATCTCAGAATATATAGAGTTTACTAATGAAGTAGAATTGGCTGAGGGAATTCTAAACTTTGTTGAGTATCTTGTAAAAAGACAAACTGATGAGAAACTAAAGTTTACAATATACAGAAAGCCGACACATTCCAACAAGTATTTGAATTTTCAATCAGATCATCCAATAGGAATGAAAGTTTCAGTAGTTTTAAATCCCGTTAACAGAGCTAGAAACACTATAACAGATAATGACGACATGGAGAACGAGATATCCAACATAAAACAGGTTTTGATTGGAAATGGTTATCTTGAAAAGCTACTTGATAATATTATCCACAGAAAGGAGCATAAGGGAAAACCAAAAATTGAAAAATCCTGGCTATCCACCATAGCCATCCCATACCGAAAGGACACAGCTGAACAACTTCAAAGACTGTTTGCTTCGTATAATATTAAAGTCTATTTCAAGCCCTCTAATTCTCTAGAGAAAGCTTTGGTCAGTGTCAAAGATATGGTTCCCAAAACGTCACAAAACAATTGTGTCTATAGGATAAAGTGTTCAGAATGTGAAGCTTGCTATAAGTGGGGGAGAGCAGTAGGCAGGTGAAGGGCAGAGTGAATGAACATGGACTGACAATGCACGAAACGTCCACCTAGAAATGAAGTAGAATTAAAAAGTCTAGAGAAAAGATTGGCTATAGCAATGCATGCGATAGACAGTGGACATAAGATTGATTTCGACAATGTCGAAATTCTAGGAAGAGGATTTCATTCACATAAAGAAAGGTTGACCTCTGAAGCCTTGCACATTTTAACCACATCGAATGCAGTAAATAGGAAAGAAGGGATAGACTTATCACCTATATATATGGCAAACTCTAATGAAGCAAGACAGATGAAAAAACTATAGGATTAGTAGGCGAATATGAAAGGAACCCAATTCATTCGCTCTGCTTTAGGATAAGAAACATTTGTAGTTCTGATCGGGTTGACTCAGAACTTGACTTCCTAAAAGCCACGCTGGCAGAAAACGGTTACCTGAACCGATTTATTGACAGTAACACGAAAGATAGGCAGTCGAAACTGATCACCGACTCAGTTCCAAAGAAAACATTATTCATGAACTTGGAATTCAAAGGTGATCAAGCTTCAGATATGCTCAAAAACCGTCTCTCTAAAGCAGTCATTGAAGACGTCCTTTGCAGCAAAATTACAAATGACGTTCACCAACCGCAAGTTGTTCTCCATCTCTGTAAAAGATAAGCTCCCCCGTCTGGCCGCCTCCATGTGCATCTATCAGTTCACCTGCTCTTGTGGAGCAAGGTATATTGGCCGTAGCCAGAGGACGCTTTCCACACGGATACGAGAACATGTGCCAGCATGGTTATACAAGGGAGAAAGGAAGTGTGTGAGAAGCTCTATTCTAGAACACCTGATCGACTCCTGTCACTCTGCCAACCCTGACCATGATTTTAAGATCATCTACCGAATCCATGCTAACTTGCCAGCCGCGTTTTCTTCGTTACAGACTTCTAAAGACAGCGGAGGCCTTGGCAATTCATGACATCACATGTGAATCGACGTCTTTTCCACATGACAAATAACATACACTCACACACACACTCATACAGAAAAAAATATACACAATAACAATTTGACACTAGTCATTACAAATATATGTGATGACTGCTTACATATTTCTATTCGTACAAATGTCTACCGACAAGTGACCTTCAAATAAACTGACTTCAATTTATGTAAGAAACATTTTTTGACTATATATTTTGATGATTAATAAAATCCGAATAGTTCTGTTGAGGAAGTTGTGGCAAGTTACACAGCGAAACGTTCAGAAAAATCCTGTTTTGATTTTTTCTTAAACACACTGGGATTATTTTAAATAATTTATGATGGTTCAATCTGACTCGGTGCTCACATAGTTCCAGGAAATTCGTAACATCTACTACGGTCTGGGAACTTATAATCTTATTAAAAGTTGGGGTTATTGTTTACGTCATCAAAATGTTTCTAAAATGTGATGAATAATAATGAAATTTGTAACTTGGGTGTGTGTGTGTGAAGATTGGTAAGTATTGAGAAGGATTGTGCGTAATATGAGATAAGATGTTAGTGGAGACAGGTGTCCAGAAAAGAAATTATGTGGTGGGTAGAAAGGGGTAAATGAAGGGTTGGTTAAGAAACAGATGTTACTAAGATGTCTCCATTAACATTCTATTTCTTATTACGCAACCCTTGTCAATACTTACCAATCTTCACACACCCACCCACCCTGAAGTTACAATTTTGATTGTTCATCACTTTTTTGAAACATTTTGATGACGTAAGCGGTAGCGCTACCTAATTTTTATGTTTGTTTGACAATCCTAATGTGCAAACACACACAAAAGGATGGTATATAAATTCGATTGTACAGCTAAGTGAATGAATTCACCGAAAAGTGTCTGAAGTAATCAAGAGAGTCAATGACTAATTCCTTGAGTGATGAATAGTGGTTTGGAAATGGTTGGCAAGAGACAAGACGACAGAAGATTGAAACTGTGTTGGAAAAGAACAAAGCGGACTACATACAGCTCAATATACAGTTACTCAGGATCACAAAGTATGAAGAAAAAAATTAGTACGAAGGTCATGGTGGTGGAAGCGCCTGGATGAAACGTTTCTGAATACAAGATTCAGGTTTCTTCTTAAGGATTGCTAAGTCTTCAACTGCATGCAGGCGAAATCCTTTCGGACGATTTGGCCGTACTTTGTATATCATTTTGAGAGTAGTCTCTGATGTGGCTGCATATCAAGGAGTAATATATATAAACGCCCTACACAGCTATGAACCGAAGTTACGACATGAGACCTCTTTGCTAACTTATGTGTTCTTTCCCCCTTTTTATATAAATTTTACATTTTTTAAAAAGAAAATGTGAAACTAGTTATCATACACCGTCTTGTTACATAGTTGCTTTACAAACAATCTACAGGTAGAATGTTTTGGATAAATATACAAGGACATATAGAAATCAGTCATATAAAAGATGTCGACTGCCTCCAACTACTTAACAATATGATATCTACATTGTAATCGAAGAAGTTCAAGTTGGAAAAGCAACAAAAGATATTAGATGGTTGCAGACAATCCACACGTGCTAGCTGGTAATCACCAGTCAGCAAGGCGTATCTGCAACTGCCTTGAAGGAACTCATGTCCCTTCTGAGATTCAAACCCACGTCACCCAGTGAGCGGTGCAGTCAAAGGTGTTACCATTGAGCTATTCGGGCTCGCGATTGACACCCTGTAGGACTGTACTGTTTGTTTTTTTGACGAGTGCCAACTATCACGAAATCTAGGTGCAGCCAAAGCTTCCTGCTGATTGCTTCCAACCATCCAACAACAACAATTCAAAGTGCACCGAGATGGCGAGCCAACTAGAATGGTGGCTGTATTGCAAACTTGACTGATAGAATTCAGATAAACTACACTAGTTACTGACTGGCATGTAATCAAAATAAGCAATGAAAGAAAAAGTTACATCATCATAGTAAATTAGTAACTGAACATTGACACTGGACATTTTTCTTCCGAATTGAGGAAAGGAAAGCAGAAAATTTATTAGTTATTGCATGAGTTAAATTAACAAGAGATCAATCGTCACTCTGAATAGCTCAGCAGTAACGTCTCTCACTACATCACTGGGTGGCCCAAGTTCGAACCTCAGAAGGGTAGTGAGTTCCTTCAAGGCAGTTGCAGATACGCCTTGCACGAAACCTAAGTTCAATGACTTCTGCCGACTATCTCCAACCATCTAACAACCAATGAATTTGCATCTACTGATGAGCACTATTCAACATACTTTTAAGGATCAAGATAAATAGAAAAAACAGGTGAAAATGGATGTAAAATGAGACCAATTTAACTATGACGGGTTGCTTTATTCCTCAATGTTTCTTTAACTGAACAATATACCGCGTTTACACGTAAAAACAGTAGTACCATCTTACTCATGATTCAGTAACTATGCTCACTTTTATAAAACACTCAGACGACCTGAATGATAAGCAGGATAGATTAACTTCATTATGATGAAGGTCTTCTTGTATTTCCAAATGAATGAAAAACAAAACCACATGGCTGCTTTTACTGACGTTTCTCTATTTAATGCTAGTAGCTTTATCAAAATATTATTAAACCGGAATTTACAAAATCTCAGTAAATATATGACAAACAGTTAGGGGTGAGAAAATAGACCTTTGTCAATTTAAAGGGACAGAATTGATTTTGACAATATTGAAATAATCCAGAAAAAGCATTTCAGAAATCACAAAGAACGTCTAATATCACCAGAAGCACTTCATATCAAGTGGAATCCAAATTGTCTGAACAGGAATGATGGACTAAAACAGAATCTGACTTGGTAACAACACCTCCCACCCCCATCAAGTGGCAAAATCAACACGAATGTGATAAGCAAGTTCATTATGTAAACACACTACTTTTATAATTTTACACACCGATCAAATCCAACAATCCACACTTGATTTTGTTATCTTCACCAATTGACCAGCTTGACAACCAAAAATGGCCCCAGACAGACAAACGATGATCAAGTTAGTAAACTTTATTTTGATATCATAAAAGACATACTATTATTTTTCTTATTTGGTTTAGTGATCTTCATTGCTATTTTTACTTTCAATATGTCCATTGAACTTGACCTAAGTCTATTTTCTCACCCCCTAACTGTTTGTTATATATATGCTGAGATTTTGTAAATCCCGGTTTAATAATACTTTGATAAAGCTATTAGCGTTAAATAGCGAAACGTCAGTAAAAACAACAATATCGTTTTGTTTTTCATTCATTGGGAAATACAAAAACCTTTATTATAATGAATATCATATACCCAATGCCCAAATTTTTTCAAACCGTTAAAAGTGAACTTGGTTTGGACATATATAAATTAACTTCATATCATGATATCACTAAATGAAGAACATTTCTGTAGTGGAATAAATCGATGACTAGAAACCTTCCTTATGCCTTCAATAGTCTGATAGCACACTGAATAAACCATAAGTTTATAGAAAAAAATTTTTCACAGTTGATAACTCGGACATCGACATTCGACTGGGGCAACCGACGTTCAAATATTAGACAGAGGAAACACCAAGAACGGCAGAGAATTTTTAGAAGCTTGGTATTCCAGTGATTGGTCGATCTATAGATACATCAATATAGACAAAATTTACTAATCGATAAGATGGAAATCTCACAGACAAAAGGTCAAACTTCAAGTCACGGAAACAACCAGTACCTATACGAATATTCAAGTATTGGTTTGTGAGGATTTGGTGGATTGGTTACAGGATTTCATCATCATCTGACATTGGTTAGGGGACCACTGGAAAGCCTACAGGGAGTACTGAACAGCTGGTTCGTCCTAGTAATGGACTCCTCAGCAATGTGCACCAACTGAGGTTCAATCCGAGGACCAACCGGTTACCAGACGAACTCGGAGACCATTGAGCCACCGGAACCCAATCCAATGGCCTGTCCGTGGATTCCAACTTCTGCCAATTCACGATATATATATATATATATATGCATATATAGAAAATCAAAACAAGTGATTCAGCGAAGAGACTCTTTTCAACGAATTTATCATCAAGCTGTACAATCGTATATATATGGTTTTCAACCAAACCCCTACAAACCAATACTTGAATATCGATGAGATGCTCACTGGCGACTGACCCTATTCAGGTAAGCAGTTACCTAGGGTTCTAATGGGAAGTCGTGACCAGTAGGGGGCAGCAGGTCGGGTGTGATGACAAATACAAGCCGAAGACATTGGCTAGCGGTTACGCTATATTGTGAATTGGCAGAAGTTAGAATTCATGGGCCATTGGATTAGGTCCCAGTGGCTTAATGGTCTACGAGCTCGCTAGCCTTGTAACCAGAAGGTCCTGGGTTCGAACCCCAGTGGGTGCGTACTGATGAAGAGTCCCAAACTAGGACAAAACAGCTGTCCAGTACTCCCAGCTGGTTTTCCAATGGTTCTCTAACCAATGTCAGCTCATGATGAAATCCTGTAACCTATACAAATAGCCTAGAGGGTGTGAAAAAAAACAACCAATCACGGTCAAGGTCACTCACGAGGAGAGATGACTACTAAACTCATGGAGAAATCTAAAAGCTCACTTCAAAAAATTGCCTAGTAGTAGAGGGCAATGAAAGCTTCGCAAATATAAACCATCCAGCTCAAAGAACACAACTATATCAAAAAGTTAATAACTCGTTCAGTAAGTAAAGTGGACGTGAACATATTAACGTCTATCGCATGCATAATCTACTAGAGACAAATAGACAGACATATACACGCACACAATGAAATAGAACATGAACACACACACACACACAATGACAATTTAAAAAGAAAACAGACACGCAATGGTGTTGTACACATATTAATTTATTGACAAAAATTTCGATCAATGAAAATCACAGGAAAGATAATAGAGAACACAAATAAATAACACTGAGAAAGGTATAAACAAGGCTCTTCAAAAAAATATTATTTTGAAAGAAGAAAGAACTTATAATTACAACGGTTGTTGTCAGGTGCGCCTTAGAAAGCGAAATGATTATTCGAAAAAAAAATAGTAAATTAATTAATTAATAAAACAAATATTATCGAAATATCACAGAAATATCACATATAATATTGTAACACGTCACTTACTACACAATGCTTGATGTACACACATACACACACACACACGCAACAATGGATGATAATGCTGACTACCGGGGGTAAATAGACGACGGAAGGGAAACAACACACTGGGCTTAGAACAGCCAGCAACGTAATAAGAGTAAGTGTATAAAAAGAAAGTAGATTAGGCATATCAATACTGGCTTAGGCCGAGGTTGACTTTGTAAACGAAATGAAGTGTACTGTATGCCAGTAGATAGTCTGGAAGTCACTTGTTTACTAAGTAGTGCCAAATATGTCAACCAAACTGATATACGATCATTCATTTTGACTATGAGAAAAAGAAAAAAACAATAATAATGATAAAGGTAAAACGCATCATTCAGTACTCGTAACAGGGTATATCGTATTCAAAGATTAATGTGAAATATAAATGATCTCACTGACTATTTTTCGCAAAACCACACGCCACATATCACTACAACGAAATAATAATAGTACATATTGCAGAGCTATTAAATTTTCCCATTTCTTGCTGTTTCACTTGGTAGGACGGAAGAGACAAATCTCTGTAAGAAGGAGGAAATGGCTCGGTGATGCGTTTAATTCCAACTATTACGTGCAGATGTTGATATACTGTCATGAAGTGGTCAAAATGCACACCACATGTTTTTAAAATTATCCTCAAGTACTGATTCCAGTAGAACATTATGATTATTATTGTTCCCTTGGGTTCCTAGTAGAACATAGGGCTTCAACTGCACGCCTCCACTTGCTTCTGTCTTCTGCTGTACTTTTCACCTGCATCCATGTTAGTCCATAATGTTTCAGCTCCTCTTCACACGATCTCCTCCATGTCACCCTTGGACGTCCCACTCGCTGCTTCCCTTTCGGGTTCCACTCGAGCTATGGCCTGACGCACGATGTCACCCAACGGCCTCCACACGAACTGTCCAATCCATCTCCACTTTCTCCTGCATATTTACTGGGCGATTGGTTCTTGTTTTGTTTGTTCCCATAGTTTCTTGTTTGTGATTCTTTCCGGCCGGCCATCTGATCTTCAGTATAGAACGAAGACAGTTGTTGATAAAGGTCTGCAACAGGCTGTTGGAAATATACTTTGTGACCCGCCAAGTTTCTGATCCATATAGAAGAACTGACTGACTTGACGTTTGTATTGAAAATCCGAATTTTGTTGTTGATGCAGAGTGACGAAGATTTTCAGGTTGATGAATGTGTTTCTCGCCTTCCCGATTCTCGACTTGACATCCTCGTCCGTTCCTCCTGTAGTTGATTGAGACAATTCTCCCTAGATAAGTGAATGAAGTGACCCCTGTCAAATCCCTCCCGTTGATGGTGATTGGCGCTGAATGTTGCTGCTGCTGTTGTTGTTGTTGGTTGGTTATTTTCATAACCTCCGTCTTGTCTATGTTCACCTAGAGTTCTGTCTTTGCTGCTTCTTCGACCAGTTTGTCGGTTTTCGCTTGTAAGTGCTTTTCATGACACGTCATAATCATAGCATTTGGCTGCCTAAACCATGATGAACATAAAAAGGACTCGAAACCAAAACTAACTAGGTTAAAATTGTAGAGTTTATAGCACTAAAATGGTTTTATATCAGGTTAGCGAATACCTGTATTGAAAAAAGGGATATCATTTGGTCAAACAAATCTTATTGTACATAAGCAATAGGATTACCAGCAGTAAACTGTAATATATCCAATAGGCTTGATTACGAGTCGACATCATTTAGGGAAGACTTGGAAAACCTGCAGGCAGTACTGGACAGTCGTTTCGTCCTAGTAAAGGACTCCTCAGCAATGCGCACTCACTGAGGTTCAATCCCAGGACCAACTGGTTACCAGACGAACTCGGAGACCATTGAGCCACCGGGACCCAATCCAATGGCCTGTCCGTGGATTCCAACTTCTGCCGATTCACGATATATATATATATATATATATATATACCACCGCTTGGTGGTGGTCCTTGGATCGAACCTTAGTGCGTGCGAACTGATGAAGAGAATCAATCTAGGACGAAACAGCTACCCAGTACTCCCTGCAGGTTTTCCAATGGTGCTCTAGTCGACGTCAGTTCGTGATGATGAAATCCTCAAAAACCAGTCAAATCCCTGCAGACCAACACTTGATACATTCAATACACAAATCAACATGTAACAGTTTTTAGGAGAAGTTACAACCAATTGTGTGATTTCTTTTGGGTCCTCAAAGATATTATCATCCAAGGTGATTCCTTTACAGAAGGACTTGAGTGTTCACTTCAAATCCTTCAGGGTTGGCTTGATGAATTTTAAGTACATCTGTCAGTATATTTGTATGTTAGCAATAGGCTATACTAATACTATTCGTTTACCACCTAAACGTCTCACAAATACATGAAAGTAACTGCTATGGTGAATTCTTATAAATGAATACAGGTGCTACCAATGGTTTACTGTATAATAGACAATAAAATATGAATTGTAATCTCACCGAGTCGATTAACATAGTTTGACCTTGTGAAAGACGAACGAATAAATGATTGTGGCGGCTCGTAGGATTGAAGAAGCCCTTTCAAATCAATAATAGCTGAATCAACTGTATACTGATTTGTTAACTTTGATCCCTGAAACTGTTTTGAAATTGTCTGTGGTACTCTGAAAAAAAAACAGATCGTATAGGATAATTTATTCATAAAATCAAAATCGAATATACAGTGTGGTAAAGTAGTATACTCTATCTGAAAAAAAGACAGTGGAATCGACTCTATTCATAAGGCATAAAATAATCACCACTAGGTAAAATCAACGTTAAAAGAGGTAGAGGCTAAAAATTTGAAAATGATTACGCTTAATTGAGTATATTTGTAAAATCTCAGCGAAATTGAAATGATTAATTCCTACGTTTCCTGCGTTAGGCAAACTGGTCCGAACTTCTTCAGGGAAATTAATCGAAATTAACATAACAGAGGTTTATATATAAAAGGAACATCTCTTGTTTCTAAAATCTTTGTCCAATCATATGAGTCATGAAACAGGTATCAACAGGTATAATAAACAAATTGTATGAACTGCGATCAAAATTTCTTCTCAGACTTTCAAAATTAGTCTACTTTTGTTAAAATATATGTGTATATGCAGTATACAATGGTGTGTATGTATGTGTGTGTGGGTGAACAGTCATAACGAATAAGAATATATCTGTAAAACTTCTCAAACTGTTGGTATTCACCTATGAACAGACTTGAACGCATGGCAAATCCTGACTATTAAATACAAAATTGGATATGTATCAACAATTAATCATACTTGCTCAAAATTCCCGATTGTCTACGTCTTCTTATTGAGAGGCTAACAAATGTTTTATGACTGTTCACCCACACACACATACATACACACCATTGTATACTGCATATACACATATATTTTAACAAAAGTAGACTAATTTTGAAAGTCTGAGAAGAAGTTTTGATCGCAGTTCATACAATTTGTTTATTATACCTGTTGATACCTGTTTCATGACTCATATGATTGGACAAAGATTTTAGAAACAAGAGATGTTCCTCTTATATATAAACATCTGTTAGGTTAATTTCGATTAATTTCACTGAAGAAGTTCGGACCAGATTACCGAACGAAACGTTAGAATTAATCATTTCAATTTCGCTGAGATTTTACAAATATAATTTCTTTTACAAATGTCTACTTCTCACTCGGCGCCCAGTTATTTTGCAACCATTCGGTCAAATCTTGATCACACTTCACATGAACTAATTGAGTATAGTTGTAACGACAGAAGACAAGTGCCAGGCAACAGATCGTTTATTGAGGAAATCGAGAGATATTTATGGATTTTGATGCACATTATTTTTCGTTATTATTAGCAGAGAAACAGTGCCTTCTGATTGGTCGCTTTCCCACTGGAAGTTCTATTCTGTCATCTCTTTGTGGCCGTTTCTTTGATGGTCAGACCATATATCTGCTAATCGTATCCACCCACGCAAAGTCTGCTCTTATTGGTTATTGCGTTATTCTTGTTCTTTTCTCATGACTAAGATTTGGGACGTAAATTTCTGTCTACCAATTTTGGCTAGCAGACAGCTCTCACCACATATTTTTGTTACCTAACCCTATGAGCAAAAACTCAATACTGGGGTGAACTACGATAGTTCACACATTCCTTAATTGCTTGCGCCAATTGCCTGTAATCTTATAAAGTAATCATGTTTCGCTTCTTATGAATTCCTAACATAACAGCTTCTGAGCCTGACAAGTCAAGGTCTCGACAACAATTAAGACACCACACATTTTATTACAAATTGATCTTGTGAATATTTATTCACGAAAAAGAAACCCTCTCATAGGCATTAAAACCCGTGGATAATGTTAGAACTTCGGTAAGTTGATCAGCAACAACTAGTGCTCAGGAAAACAACGATTACTTCATCAGAACATCTGTTGGTTGGTGTTGAAAAATAATCTAACAATTGCCTCCCCAATATGGAAACTGTGTTCGTTTGAGCAAGGAATCAGGAAACTCATGCAGGCTTAGACAAAAGTGCAAGAGGGCAAAAAGGATGCTTATTAAAACTAGTGGTGCTTACTAAAATATGGATATTACACAACTATTGATTGCTGATAGGGTGAGAGAATTAAAGATGTTTGACTATGTGTCTTTCTTCTACTGCTTGTGTATTACAAAATGATACAAGGGCTGTTTCGAAGTTAGCCATGAGATGGTGCTCACGAATTTTATCCATCCGTTCCTTGACAAGCGTGAGTATGTGAAGTAACCACCTTAGGCTGGAGGAAAGCTAGGGATGATCAGAACTCTGTATAGAACCAAATCATGCATTCACGGATTATTTATTAACGCCAACTAGAACAAAATAGATGATAAATACGATTTCTTGTGTTCAAAGTGGAACAAAAGATGTTAGCAATACACATCTCCATTGCACTCGTTTCCCTGACATCACTTTCAACTGGCTCCAAGACTGCACAGTTGATTATATTTCTCTTCACATGATCTCCTTCATGTCACCCTTAGACATCTAACCGGTTGCTTCTCATTCGGATTCCCCTAGATAGCCTGATACGTAATGTCACTTGGAGATCTGGTCAGCGTATATCTGATCTATCTTAATTTCCTCCTACATATATGTTGAGCAATACGGTCTAGGTTGGTTCCCTGCAAGAGTCCCTCGTTACTCATCTTTCCGGTCATCTTCTGTTGAATATCAACAGAAGACAGGCATTTAAATGTTCACCCTAACCCTTAGGGAACTATTTCGTCTTTCAAAGTCCGTCTGTCTCATGGTCTATATATCTGTTTAATTCCTAAAGCTGTTGCACAAGATGAACGTCTAATAAGGTGATACACTTCTTTGCGAATTTCTATGTTAGTCTCCTTTTCAGTCTTTTTTTATACTTTTAAACACAACGGCTAAATTTTTGAGCTCCAATTTCGGCATTTATTTCCACTTTGACAATCTCATGAGACGAAAAAAATTGTTTTGAAAAATTTTCGCCAGATTTAATCTATATATCAATCTTAAATTTGAAGTTAGTTAATATATAATCAGTTTATAGGGCATATCTATTACATATTATATGGTTGGAGGCAACTGCCAGGCAGCGTTGGACCTAGGTTTTATGCTCGTTGGCACTTCTCAGCAAGCCGTATCTGCGACTGCCTTGAAAAAACTCACGTCCCTATTGAGATTCGAACCGGCGTTACTAACTAGTGTCCAATCAAAAGTATCCAATACAGACATACAGGAGGTCAGTCGCGAGCCCGAAATCCTCGATGATAACACCTCTGACTGCACTGCTCACTGGGTGAGGCGGGTTCGAATCTCAGAAGGGAAATGAGTTCCTTCAAGGCAGTTGCCGATACGGCTTGCTGCCTGCTAAGTGGCAGCCAACTAGCACGAAATCTAGGTGATGTCAGATTGCCAAATGCCTCCAACCATCTAATATCAACTATTCAAAGTGCACCGTGATGGAGACCCATCTAGAATGGCGGCCACATTGCAAACCTGACTGACAGAATTCATCCCGCACTAAACGGAGGACTAGACACATTACACTAGGTACTAATTGGTGTCCAATCAAAAGTATACGTGTTACATCCCAGTATTGACACAGTCTCAAATTTATCTTCTAGAATGTCTGCAAAATAGCGAAATTATATTGAAGGGAGCATATTCTGTTTAAATATCCCACCGTTCTGAAACGACCCGGTATAAGGTGAAGAAATTAAATACGTATTGATTTTAAGAGATCATACAGACAGTGAAGAATTCAAGTAAATTCATCTGAACTATAAAGCTGCTTGTACAGATAATTAAGAAGATGCAGTGCATCCAAAGGGTGCGTCGGTGGAACAGAGGTAGGTAGAATGCTCGCCGACCGCGCCCTCATGTGGTCCGGGATTCTATCCCCGGCCATGGACGCACTCTTTTACATCCCTAAGCCAATAATAAGACTGATAAAGAGGGAAGGCTGGGCATGAGGTTAGCAATCGCATCACTACTACCGAAACTTCAAGCCCTATGTTCCACTGGGAATGTAAAGGAATAAAAAAAGAAAAGTGCCTCCATATATTTTTCTTTACAACAAGTGAGATTGGCAATTCGTCTTGATTAAAATAGTAGTAGAAATTGCGAACTTACGATGATTTTGGCTCAGGTGCACAGCTACCAGAATCTGAAAATATAGGCTTTTGATAGGTAGGATAATGCTTCTGAAGAAGTGTTTGACACTTGTGCAATTCTTGTGTACGTTCATACAACGATTCTTCAAGTAAAGTAACCTATTTAATTACAATTCAGAAAATTGAAAACAGAGCTATATAAGTTACCAGAACCAAAAAATAAATGATTTATGCTCGTGAAACCTTCAACTTTATTCATGAAACTATCGCGAGGACCCCAACCAGGAAGTCTACACCTTCCTACGTGGCTTAGACTAACTGTTGTAGATTTCGTTGACTGGTGCCATTTTTTGGTTTGAACGCCGTTAGCTCTTTTCCAGCCTGACCCTATATCAGCTAACATTGCCCGTCGAGGAAGGCGATGACACTTTGACTGAGATAAACTCTAAAATGAGTTTGCGATCGCATAAAATTCCAAGTAAACACTAGCTCACCTTTTATTTAAGTAACGCGCCTCAAAGGAAATCTACTTTTCTGCCTTATCTGAGAGCTATAAGTAGTATATGATAAGTACTACATTTTGAACAGTGTTAAAAAAAATATGCAGATCGATAATTTTAAATATCAACACATACACAAAGGCTTAAGTGTTATGAACAATGTAACCATTAGTTGGTCTTACATTTTATACGACCATTAATTATAAAACTATTGCGTTTTAATCTAGTGTCTGAATAACGTGAAATGATAGAACAAATTTTAAAAAAGGGGTGTTGTGCGTACGCACTAGTGAAAAGTGCTAAACTGGACTAAAACACACGTATTTAAATTCCAGCGGAAAATATACAAACAAAATGAGGGAGTTGCTGCCACGCGGTCACCAAAATCCCCGACTGTGGCAGATATATTCATGGATAGGTGGGAAAACATAGTGATTGAAACATTCAGCCCCACTCCACGTCGAAGTATGGTGGAAGTATGTAGATGACACATTCACTGTACTTAGAACACCGGATATATAGATAGATTTTTCGAACACATTAACTCAAAGGTGGAGGCAATTCAATTCACTTATGAATTAGAAAGTCAGGAAGGGTAGCTTCCAATGTTAGATTGTAGCGTGAAAAGAAAAGAAGATGGGAAGTTAAACACTAGTGTTTACAGCAAACCCACACATTCAAACAGGTATTTAGACTTCCGATCATCCCATCTTATGTCGGTAAAAATAGGATTGGTGAAATATTTAAGTTTTAGAGCACAAAAACTAAGTAGTACCAAGGAAAATCTAAAACAGGAAGTGATACGTATAAGGGAAGCCTTGAAACTTAATAATTACCCGGATAAATTAGTCAGGAAATATGTAAGGAAATGTAAAAATAAAATAAATAATGATAGTAGCGATAGTGATAATAATTTATTTTTTATTTTACTTATTTTGATTACAGCTTGATTCCACACTGTATTTTCAGTACAAGTATAGAATTTTCAGCATGGATATCGGTAGCCCAAATTTCAGGCCGACCATAGATATCGGGTGTGCGCCGGCAGGGTATCGAACCCCGGACCATGTGCATGGTCGGCGAGAGTCCTAACCACTGTGCCACCAACGCACAGTAACAATAATAATGATAATAATAATAGTAATAATAATAATAATAATAATAATAATAATAATAATAATAATAATGACGACACCAACAATAAGGAATCTAAATCATCAGTAGTAATTCCATACAAGGAAGGAACCTCGGAAGCCTTACTCAGAATTCTTAACAAGGCAGGAATAAAAGTGGCATTCAATCACCTACAAACTCAATTATAAACAAGCTTTGTTGGTTAAAGGATCCTGTGGAGCCTTCAAAACAAAACAATTCAGTTTATTTATTACCCTGCTGGAATGATTGTCAGGTCAAATACATAGGTTAAAGCAGTAGAACAGATGCAGTCAGGATAGCGGAGCATAAAACACCTAGCAAAATCTAGATTGGTTGACCCAAATAAGATAAGAAATCTAGAGAATAGTTCAGCTATACCACTCACTACATGCAGTTACACACAACAACACAATAGGATGGGATATGATGACAGTTTTAAAATCTAATGTAACAGGGCGAAGGGAGAGATTGATAACAGAAGCTTTGTTTATCGAATCAACTGCAAACACGTGTAATGGGAATGATTCAATACCTGTTCCAGATATATGGAAAATTCTACTACCCCAACGACGACAAATAGGAGAGAACAAAGAAAACTATAAAACTCAAGTTTCGAAATCGTTTGATAAATTTTTTTCGAAATGTCATCCAGTAAATAATAGTACTGTTTCCCTGCGTGATATATCTAATAAACACACTAATATGGAATTACTTACTACCACAATGCCGAAGTTTTACACATATATTAAAACACACGTTCAGTAGACATTGATTTTTAATAGTTCTTTAAATGACCTCAATTGTTTACTAATGTCCCGAAAACTCTTAAACAGAATAAATCAATCGCCTCTTTGCCTTGTCCAGTTGTTTCCCATTGTTACCACTATTTTATTATTCCTAGGAGTAGTAACAGTAGCATGAATAGAAGCAACAGTAATACTATTTTTTCTGTAATATTGTGACCAGTTTGGATTCCTTATATCTTCGGGATCTTGTCGTCAATTAATAGTACATGTCCAATAGTACGAGGACTGCCTTTAATTACAGAATAAAATAATAATATAAAAGATTCTACAAAGAGTCACCTAATGATGTTGCATATACTACATGAAACTAACATTTAGACAAACTCAAATTCACATTCAGTCTTTCAGGAAGCTGTGACAACAAATCCGTTAAGTGATATAACGGAGGGATAAAGTTTTAACGACTTCAAGATCACTCTATTCCCTGGAATGAGTTCAAATTCTAAACAAAAGTATCATCAATGAAGATTTAAGGATTTATGTTACTAAAGCAGTGATCAGATAAGTTCATGGATTTTGACTAGTGAGAGTAGTCGATATCGGATACCGATTAGCCTCTCACATTCAATAGGCTTCAGATTGTCAGTAATTATTTTAGAAAATAAAATATAATACTCACCTGTTCATCTAACCCGTCAATAGTTTCTTTTAAATGTGCACGCTCTACAATTGCATGCGATAATCGTTCTCTTAAAGTAAGAAACTCTGCATTGCTTGACTTCAATTGATCCATCGCCATCGCTGCTTCCTCTTCAGCTGCTTTCAGTCGACGCAGCAAAACAGAATATGAACAGTCTTCTTCTTCTTCACTGGCCGGTTCATTCGAACTACTTAAATCAGAATGTTTTAAGTTATTAGCTGACGACTGCACTGATAAAGCTTGACAATTGTTGACAGTACGAGCTTCAGATTTCTTTATAGAAGATGATGCTATGGACTCCAATGAATTGTATTTAGACGTAGACGTATGATGATCATTCGGCATGCCTTTGAAAACAGTCGATTCACTTACGCCACTACCATATCTCATAATTTCACCCATTAAAGATATTTCACCGGCTAGATTGGATTCAGACGGTAATATGTCACCATCTATAGGAAAAACATTTTAAATGAGAGTTAATTTACTGGAACCATAGGTGACTATTATCGGACGACTGAGAACTATGAGTTTTCGTGAGTACGTAAGATGTCATTCAGATATATGTAAATTAAAAGATAGAACTATCTCAATTTTAGATATATACTAATCCATCTTGTTGTACTTCTCAAAAGCACAAAAAAGTCTTTTGGCAGCAGCTAAATGAGTTAAAGCATGAATTTTTTCTACGTCACACAACTTGTAGTGAAAAGATGGTATATTGGACATAAAGAACACACAAAAAAAGCTATGGAAAATGAAAGTACAAATAAAAAAAGGTAGAGTGTAATGACAAGAAGTGAACATACGTATCACCGAGCTACTTCTCAAGCTATCAATTAGAAGATTCAAGCACCGATTGACATCATTTCCAGAACACCTGCCGTTGAATACCCATAAATTTATGCAATGATCACTTTCTCAAACTTTTCCACCTTATTCTTTACCCCAACTAACATCACATATTAAAGTAGCATAGGCTACAGCTGTCTAAATTATTACATATTTAAAATTTAGTGAGTTTATTGCTTTTCCTGGCCAAGATGCCATACCTATGAATATTTTTAGGAAGTTAGCCTCACCAGGTAGCACCGAACAGCTGCTTCGCCCCAGTTTGTCTGTCTGTCTGTTTCCGACATAGAACTTTGCACATATGTGCGGCAGTTCAAGTCGCCACACTCCATGTACCACACAAAGCAAGAGAAGAAAGTAGGAGAAATGCATAATATAGACAGTAAACAGAGGTGTGAGACAAAGGAATAGTAATAAGGAAGAACAAAACAGTTTAATTGGAAATCATAAGTCACAAGGAGTGGATGCATCTGCACCACCCATTGAGAACGATTTTGAGCCATGTCACCAATTGTTTCCAACCATTGGTTTTTACTGTCCCTAGGACCCCAACCAGGAAGTCTACACCTTCCTACGTGGTTTAGACTAACTGTTGTAGATTTCATTGACTGGTTCCATGTTTTCGTTCGGCCGCCGCTAGCTCTTTTCCAGACTAACCCTATATCAGCTAACATTGCCCGTTGTTGTGGAAGGCGATGACTAGGCATTTCGCCCCAGTTTGGGACTTTTCAGCAATACACGCCCACCGACGTTCGAACCCAGGACTTTACGGTTACAAGGTATACCGCTGAAGAGTCCCAGAATAGGACGACACAGATGTCCAGTACCTCTTGGTTTCCAATGGTTCTCCAACTGACATCTATCTGTGATCGAACTTGAAATATTATATTGTTTGAGAGCTCTGAATTGATCAGAGGGACTCAATCGATCAGTGAGAATTCGATTACAGATAAAATCACTTCTATAACACAAATAATCGTTAATTAGCCTTTGGATTTAAGTAAGTTCGAGTACATAACCTTTAAGTAGTATAGTCTGCTTCGTTATACTCGAGAATACAAATGGGTTAATGCTATAGGATTACACTAAAAATTTGTTTCTATTCACGCATTACAATCCAATGACCCCCCCCCCCCCCAAAAAAACAAGATATTTCACGATAACATCACAAGCATTAAAACTTACTCATCATAAGAAACGATTCAGTTTGAGTGGATTTGCATTTTAAAACTGGTATGTTTGTCAAAAAACTATCTGTAAGCGTATCTACAGGATCAATAGCTGTGTCCACTTTCAAAACATTCTCCTCAGGATAAACACAACTTAATACATCTGTCTGCGTAGAATTATCCAAAGTTTTTCGGACATAACTCTTGTTTTGCGTGTTGATACAATTCTCAGAGACGCCATTGTTACACTTTATCATATTGCCTTGATCTGTGATCAAATCAGGAATAGGATTCATTTTCGACTGTTTTCTTTGTAGTAGATCATTCAGACGTTGAAGTTTTTGACAATTCGAACAGCTGACAGTTTCTGCAGAGTTTGTATTTTCTAAACCAGTAGTCTTATTAGATGAAACATTTTGAGATAAAAGTCGATTTAACTGGATTCGAAGAGCTCGTGCATCTGAGGTGACCTCAGCCAATTGACCTCGAAGTCTCGAGGCTTCACGATCGGCATCTTCTCTTTGATGCACTATATCTAACCGTAACTGATTTAATTCATTTTGAGAAATTGACAATTTCAGTTTTAAATCATCAATACTAAGATTATCCATATTTTGTAGTTCATCATGGGTTTGTAGGTTCTTTATTTCTTTATTAGCTGAATTGTTCATAAGAGCTATAAATAATGTGTAAATATTTAATGAATAATTATAAAAACTTAACAAAAGATTAAAATTTTAAAGCGTTGGTTTTTAAGAATTAGATTTGTTTTCACGAGTTTGACCTCGGATGGATATCAGTTAGAGAACCAGTGAAAAGTGAGAATCGGGTCCCAGTGGGTGAATCTTATGCGACCTTGCCTCGCAACCACAAGGTCCTGGGTTCGAACCCTGGCAGTGGGTGCGTACTGCCAACGATTCCCAAACTAGGATGAAACAGTTGTCCAGTACTCCCAGCTGGCTTTCAATGGTTCTCTAACTGATAACAATCTGTGATCAAACTCGCAAAAACAAAATTAAAGCAGTTTAAACATTTACACGAAGTGATACGGTTCTATCATGTGAAATGAAACCTGTTTTTACCAGTGATGGTACTTTCAGAAAATGTATGTCGCTTATATGGACCTACACAATGATAAGATCTCGAAACCTAGTGGCATTAAATATTTGATGATTTCCTACCCTAGTTCAGCGCTATTTGGTTAGGTGAGAGCTGGCTGCAAGCCGAAATTGTAGACAAAAATTTACGTCAATGTTTACCTCCCGAATCGGGATCATGAGAAAAACAATAACAAAGCTTAACCTTGAGGAACTCAACAACCAACCACAGAAGACTTATTGTGAGCAAATACCATTGGCAGATATATGGCTTAACTTTCTGAGAAACGGTCACAAGCAGTACACAATAACCTTCAGCAGAAAAACAACCAATCAGAAGACGTTGCTTCTCCGCTGACAATAATGTACATAAAAATTTATAAATATTTCTTGATTTTCACAATGAACGATCTGTATCTCAAAGATGAGATAGAATAGCGCTATGAATGGATTCTGTTTTTTTTTCCGAAATGTCTGAATGAGTATTTTCGCTATATCACACATTCGTTAATGAACTAGGAAACAAACAATATTTAATGTTCAGTGAGATGTTACTACCTGATTATCAAGACCTTGTTACACAACGATGAGTTCGAATTTGTGACACGTTGGTTGACAACTGACTGTCTGAACCAATGAGTTACAAGATTACTAATTAAGGTATACCAAGGGCAGAATGGGAGAATCACCGCACACAAACGAAAATTCAATCTCCAAACAAATGAAAACTTGAGAATTAACATTTTTATCAACAGAGCGATACTTAAAACACGTAGTGTAACTAATAATAGTGTTTAATCAATATGCTATGGATACCAATAAGAGCAATGACAGCATAATGAATAATACAGCATCAGAGACATACCTCGCATATTTTGACTTAATGAAGTTGATGTGATCAGGTTAGCCTTACTAACCAATAACTTGTACTGCTCTAACAATGCAGTTGTTTTAGCTAGCTGGTTACGCAAATTAGCAGTTTCCATTGCAGATCTACGCTTTTGTGCTTCAAAATTTGTCTGATGATAACGAATAGTATCCACGCTGGCATCGAGTTCACTGCCGACATGATCCAATCGTTCTTGTAGTTGATCCATACGTGTTTTCTGTGTTGAACGATACCTTTTCAAGCGATCTAACTGACTTAAAGCGTTCAATAAGGCTTCTTGTAATTCTGATTTAACTGGTTCGTCAGATTCTGTGCAAGCAGAGTGTCTCAAGGTTCTATTGAGTAAGTTTCTTGGGCTAACTAGACCATATTTTAGCAACTAAAAGTAGAATATCCAGACAAAGAACAACATACGATCGATGAAGTAAACTAATCAATGTGCATATCATTAAAAACAAACATTTCATGCGTAAAGATATTTATAATTTACACGTAATAAAAAAACGGTAATTTGAATAATTAGCATAGAAATGTGAAAATTTGAATCAAGCTCTATAAACGACCTAGTATGGCTGAGGTTGCGTTTACTTTGACCTTCCTCTCTAAAATGCTCTTAGACTTGTTAATTTCTTGAAGGAATCCAAGTGTCTATCTATAATAGTATTAACGAGTTGGTTTAGCAACACCCCACTCGCCCTACTGACAGCTTTTAGTGCCCTACGCAGTATAACAAACGTCTTTCTTAAGTATCCCGGGAAAGATTAAGGGCGGGGAACAGTAAAGAAGTATAGGCAGAATACAAGAATTAACAAACGGTAACAGTAAAGACGGAATGATACCAGATCGTCTTAACTTCCTTACATAGAACGTCAAACGAAATATCTTTCTGGAAACTAACATGATGTGGAAAGATCAGGAAAGCTGATCAGAGGAAATACACAGTCATCGAAAGCACAGAGGTTAGGACTCTCGCCGTCCATACACATGGTCCGGGGTTCGATCTCCTGCCGACCCGCAAAATTTGGGCTACCGATACCACATGCTGAGAATTCCATACTTGTACCAAGAATACGGTGTAGAACCAAGCTATAATTAAAAAAATATATGACCACACGTTCATAGCTTCTGGCAGACGTCCTATTCATTTCCTTCGAACGCCGGGGGGTTTTCCTCACACAAGTGAAGAGGAGTGCAAAAACGTCTGGCGCTTACAACCAGAATGGTGGACATGCAGGTCTACCTAGGGGAACTGGGGAACTCTGATTCCAAACCTGAGGTGTCCGTGGGCACCAGAGTCCAACTGGATCGAATGGCGTGTGAATCTGGTTTAGCCCCCGGAAACCATCGGAACGAAACATCTGACGCAGACTTCAAGTCAAAGACTCAGCGGGTGGCCCTTTAAGCCAACCATCTCCCTCTGTCTGGGCGTCCGAGGAGTATCCCAGCCCTCGCACAAATGATGAGACTGTGTGGCACATCTCTCAGTACCCGGAATGTAGCAGCTTTGTGCTTTAGTAAATAATAAATAAAAATCCACAGGGGTCCTTTCAACTATTCGGTTACATATTAGTTTCACCCTAAAGGTAGCTATATAGTTTTGTTTCCAATTTAGTACAGACATACTGACTAGCATAATCATACAACGTTGTAACCTGCAACTGAACCTAAATCAAACTACAAGTGAATTCTGCACCAGCCAGACAATAGGAGAACAAAAGTCTTCAGTGTATAGATCGATGCTGAACAACAATACAAAGTAGAAACTGTGATCATCAACATTGAGAGACTAAAGACACCTTACTTAGTTAGTATTAGTTTACTTAAATCACTTTATTTGGTAAACTCATGATTTATGCGGACGTAAAATAAAATATGCAATAACAAACGGGTCACACTACAAAACTCTATAAAAAAACAAACTCAATATCTGGAAATATTAAATACTTACAGTTTCATAGTTAACTACTTTTCCTGTAGAGTTCTTACATCCAGTATTTTCTAAACTGTCTGGCGCTGATTGCTTCAGTGCTTCATTCTTTGTCAAAGAATCTGTCTGAACAGAAGTATGCTTAGCACTTGAAACAGTGTCACGCATTTTAACATCAAGTGTTTTAAGGCTTTCTTCTAATCTTTGCTGAAATGCATAAATAATCTGTACAGTATCTGATGTTTGTTGTTCACATTGCAAAGCAAGAGAATGAACATGTTTCAACTGGTTACAAGCTGATGTCAGATTTGAACATACATCTAGAACCTCAGGACCAGGTACCAATTGACTTGCTGCTGTTGATAAAGTCACAGAAACTGAATCACCGCATTGATTCAATTGATTCATTAACGAGGCTAATTGTACATGATCAGTGGAAAGACGATTGTATAACACGGAGACAATTTTCAAGCAGGCAGTTAACTGTGACCGTAAATCTTTACTTTCGAACAGTTCATCAAGACTTAAAGCCTTTGTGTGAGAGTCATTTGGAATTTTCAGTTGCTAGAAATGAAAAAAAGTGTTAAAGTAAAGTGGAAATTAAAGACTGATCATAATAACACAGAATACAAAAAAATCTTTACAATGGGACAGGATTTTCACGGTCAATAATAAAAATTTTACTGTCAATATAGTTGACGAATGTCCCAGGAATATTTGAAGCCATTTTATCATACAAAAATCACAATAAGGTTGTTTTCAGACTAGAAAGTAAAACAGAAAATGTTGAACAGTAGACGTATAGACGTCAGTTAATTTGTTGTTTCCACCTGGTCCAAAAACCTTGATACGCGTAAATGATAAAATATCTACTGTACGTCGGTGGCACAGTGGTTAGGACTCTCGCAGACTATGCACATGGTCCCGGGGTTCGATCCCCTGCCGGCGCACACCCGATATCAATGGTCAGTCTGCAAAATTTGGTCTTCCGACATCACATGCTGAAAATTTCATACTTGTACCAAAAATACTGTGTGGTTTCAAGCTATCATAAGAAAAAAATTCCCTGATATCTGAAATGATCACAGATTATCCAGAAATTTAATCGTAACGATAATTAATCATAATTTATTGAGATAATCTTGTAAAGAAACACTCAAAATAATCAATGATATGGTAAATCCAGTATTTGCTTCAATCTCTGATACTATCAAAACAGTGATGCCACCAACCATTTCTAGTAAATATCCAGTGTAGACTAGAAAGAAAGGTCCCATACCTTGCAGTCAGCCTATTTCGACTTCTCCTTTTATTAATGAGGGGTATCAGAGCTGGATGTCGGTTATTAGTTCAAAATACAAGATCATTAACCAGGATGCGTTAAATGGTTCACTGAAAAAGAGAGCCTAGTTCGCCCAAGTAGCTCTCTGAGATGATTTAAACGGGGCTTGCTTTCTTAATTGGCATTCATGGTCTTAAGAGGATCACATATTTTAATCTGAGTAATCTGTGCGTCGGTGGCACAGAGGTAGAATGCTCGTCAACTGCGCAGACGGTTCGGGGTTCGATCTCCGGCCACCGACGCACTCCTTTACATCGCTAAGCCAGTAATAATGTGGTGAGAGCTGTCTGCTAGCCAAAATTGGTAGGCAGCAATTTATGTCAATGTTTACGTCCCAAATCTTGGTCATGAGAAAAGAACAAGAACAAAGACTAACTCGAATACCAATCACAACAAACTTTGCGTGGGTGGATACGAATAGCAGATATAGGGTCTGACCTTCAAAGAAATGGCCACAAAGAGATGGCAGAATAACCTTCAGCAAGAAAACGACCAATCAGAAGGCGCTGCTTCTCTGCTAACAATAACACCAATAATAATATACATAAAAATATATAAATATCTGTTGACTTCCTCAATAAACGATATGTTGCCTGGCCCATGTCTTCTGTCGTTGCAATAAGACTGGTAAATGGGGAAGGTTGGGCATGAGGTTACCAACCCCATCCTGTAAAAATAAACACCACCGCTACCGAAACTTCAAGCCTCTAGCTTGAAGCCCTATGTTCCACCGGGAATGTGAAGGAATAAAAACAAATTCCGGTTTCTAGAGGAAAGTGTAGTGAAATCCCACCTAAAACTGTGTAAACTGCAAATTGTAAATTGGATTCATGAGAAACCTGTCATTTATTCAAAAAGCCAATTGTATTTCTACACTGAACATTGAATCAAGAAGAATTCCCAAGGGAAAATAATTACTGAAAAAGTAATATGGTCATTTAACATAGTGTAACTGCTGAATTGAGGTGTTGATAAATTTCCTACTTATCTTCAACTATTTATGAGTCCTACTACCAGATGAAACCTAATAGCCGTAAGCTTTAGGTATGGGTAAACCCAAAACAGTAATTCGGTTAGCATATCTGGCGTATATGCACATAATGACTACTGTTCAATCGCCTGACTGACTATTCACAATAAAAACAGTTTATGATATTAACAGAAAGAGAGAGAGACGGATTAACGCTAAACTCCAAACAAAAATTAATCGTTCACCATTCAACATGGAAGAAACAATTTGCGTTAGAAATTAAGATATGTGGAGAAATATATTATATACCATAGAATTACATTCACCGTCAACAGCTTAAAGCATTTTTGTGCCTAACGAGCAATTAGCCATAGACTATGATCACCGAAGAAGTGAAGACGGGAGTAAGACAAGGCTGCCTACTATCGCCAATGATATTCCTGATTGCAGTAGATTGGATAATGGGACAAACAGTGGGCATTGAAGAAACAGGC